GGAACAGCAGCGACCGCCGGCACTGGCTTCAACGGCAGCAGTGGCGGTGGAACGGGCTTCCCGCCTGCTACTGCCGCCACAGGTGGCGGCACGGGGCTACCGATCGACCACGGGCGAGCGGAAGAAGAGGACGGTCGTCTGCGTGCGAGGTAGTGGTCGAGCTGAATTTGAAGCGTTAGAAACATGCAACAATATGCGAGACCGAAATCTCTCCCTCACCTTCCCCCTCAGCTCCCACAGCAGCGACTCGACGCACCCGGCCCTGTTCGCCACGATTCCGGCCATGGCCTCGCGCGTCGTCGTGAAGCCGAGCTTGCGGAAGACCTTTTCTGCCCGGCCCGGGCGGGAGTTTGAACGGTAACGTGTGAGGACTACGAGTGGTACGTCCACTGGGTGGGGGAAGGAAAACTCACACGGTTCAGCGTACTCCAGTTGTACATCTTTTGCGCGACAGAGTGCGCCGGTGAGTAGTTGTGCAGGTCGACCAGCTTGGGGCAAAAGTGGTGGATCACCTCGGCCGTCGCGACTGTTAGATTGAAATAGTAGGAGGGTGGGTTGCGACGTCGGATGGCGAGGTGCGCAGGAGGCTAGAGTTGAAAAAGTATTAAACCTCCGTCGGAAAAGTCTCTGTTCAGATTCCGCTTGGGCCGCGATAGCGGGATCGCGTCGATCCAGGCTAGTAGCGACGCCGTGTCGTCAGGCGACAGCGCTGTTGCTGCTGTTGCTGGTGTGGTTGTGGTGGTTGTGGTGGCCATAAGACAATTTCGATTTTCGCACGAAACTTTCACTTCTATGAAAAAAGCCGTGAAAACAAAAAAAAAGTTGGCACCAACACCACTGGTATGATTATTGAACAAGTGAGCATCGCAACATGGTCGCTGTGCGCACCAACGGCTACCGCGTCCGATTCCTCTGGCTCATACGTACGCATCAATCTACTCAACGCCCCGGTCCCAGAAAAGTTATTTTCCTAGTGAAGCGCATGCGAGCTTTTTGTTTCGATGACCGCCCCAGAATTTTCCCCCCTATCAACATCCTCTTGTTCAACTGTTTACCCGATCTTGGCCCTCGAAGACCGGGACCGCTGGCAAAGCTAGCTGACAAACGGGCAGTCCTTGCGGTGCATCTTGGTGATTGTGCGACTTTACCCACTCATTGACCCGTGTGAGGCTTTCGTGCTGTCTCATTTGTTTTCCTCCACTTCCAAAAGATCGCTAATGACATGATGAGGTACAAAGTGGGGAAGACAATCATTTTGACTGCATGGCTGGGACGAGCAAGAAGCAAGCAGGAAGCATCGCCTCTGCGCCTATGATTGGTGGATGCCGCCACCCCTCGAAGACAGATATTTTTGAGGCTGTCTTCTCGATGCCGCATCCTGCGAGAGAGAGAGAGAGAGAGAGAGAGAGAGAGAGAGAGAGAGAGAGAGAGAGAGAGAGAGAGAGAGAGAGAGACGGCCGCAGTCATGCTCGGTCTTCGCGTGGAAGACGGTCAAGGAAAAAAGTGCCTCCACACAAATCCTCCACGCCAACTCCTTTTTTCCCTTTGCATCCCTCCCCGCCTATATAAACCTCGCGCCAGCGCCGATAGCCATCATCACCAAAACCCGAAAACCCCAAAAAACAGTGTATCAAGTAACAAGAAAATGACCCAAACCACCTCCCAAAACTGCTCAGCCGCTGCCACCTCTGCTCTCCGCCGCAACAACAACAACCCTCTTCGCCTGGTCCTCCTCGCCGCCGCGCTGATTATCGCGCTCGCCGTGCTGGCGACCCTTGATACGAGACCCGCCCTCGCTGGAATCGGCGGCAGCAAACAAAAAGGCGGTGGTGCAGGAGGCCGCGCTAGGGACTCAATGGATAGGGGCAAAACTACAGAATGGAGTCCAACGTGCTCGGCGAACTTCGCCAAACGGACGACCTGCCTTGCTCGTAAGCTTAAACTGTGACCCCCCCAGTCTCCCCCTCCCTCGTTGGTCCTTGAAAAAGTTGGACCCATTGACTAACAGCAAACGGTTTCCAAACCTGCAATCAAACTCTCTTCCCTTTTCACAATCGTCGCCCAGACTGCCACTGCACTGCTGCCCTGGGACTTTTTTGTGCTGGTGCTGGCAATCATGCAGATTGCAAAGACCACTGCCATTGCTGAATTGTCGGGCTGGGGGCCGCCTGCAATAACTAGCCATCCTGCAAGTGGACCAAGCAGGAAAGAAAATGTAACAAAGCTGTCGGCATTTTTGGGCAGCAGCTTCTTTCTGCTTTTCAGGGGCAGCAAGGGGGCCGGTTGGCACGGACAATAAATAAAAGCTTCGCGTTTCTTTCTCTTGTCCATTATTTCGACATGTGCATTATCAAAAGTCCCCGATCCAGAATCGCTGGTCCTTGAGCTACTCGGCGCACCTAACGTTCATTCATTCAAGCATTCGGGCGTTTCAGTCAGCCGAGTAGAACGAACAAACAGAAACGTCCCCCCCACCTTCACCGCGAGCTGCTCCTCCTGCCGCGCGATCTTAACTTGAAGCGCCTGATAAGTAAGAATGGAATTTCGGTAGGTTGTAAGGGTAGGCGAGAGGGAGAAAGAGGCGAGGGGAGGGGTGTACCTGCACCTTCCGCTGCAGCGCGACGACCATTCGCTCCGCGTCGACGTCGTCGCCGCCGCCGACATGCGTGTCCAACACGAGCGGTTGCTGTGGCCGCGAAGAGCCCTCGCAACAGTAGCGACCGCCGGCACAGGCTTCGACGACAGCAAAGGGCTTCCCGCCCGCCACTGCCGCTGCAGGCGGCACGGGGCTACCGATTAGCGGAGGAGGAGGACGGTCTTCTTCGGGCGAGGAAGTGGTCGAGGTACAATTTTCCGGTTCCTCTTGGGCTGTGATAGCGGGATTACGTCGATCCAAGCTTGCGGCGACGCCGCCTCGTCTGGCGACAGAGCTCTTGCTGCGGCAGCGACCGAGTTCGTGGTTGTGGTAGTCATAAAAGGATTTCTGCTAAATACATATGCTGTCCTTATAGGGGGGCGGGCTGCATCTCTTGATGATCTACTCTGCTGCTGTAGGATAGCTTATTACATTCGCTGTGCCATCGCAGCAACGTTTCGGACAACGAGGAATGCTGAGAGCTTGAGATCAATACCCATTTCGGGATCCGCAGATCCGCTGCTTTATTTATTGTTAATGTTTTTTGCCTAAGACGAGCATCACAGCCTGTGTAGCTCAGGGGTAGAGCTTTACACTTGTACTCTGTCGTTGGAGCTGCAATGTAAGGGTCCAGTGTTCAATTCACTGCTCAGGCATTGGGAGCTCAGAATCCTGAGTTGTTCAGTTCCGAAGGCACGGCAGTCTATTCGACATATGCCTGCACACCAACCCAAACGCTGCCAAAGGGCATCCTCTCTTCGTCAGCGTTGCCCTCCCTGAATGTCTTGTCATCGGGATCGGTCAAAGCTGCAGAGGCTCCCCTCTCGATTCTGATCCTCTGTAGGTGACATCGCCCATGGTAGTGCATATCTATGGAGATTCCTCAGCGTCCCTATTGGAATGGCATACTGTGAACTAGAAACTTGTCTAAAATCAGACTTGGCTGGATCTAAAGCAGCAAATCTGCCTGGATGCCAGACTGCACTAAATGTCACATTTAGCCAGCTCATCTAAAATTTCCTATTACTTGACTTTTGAGAAATTCTGTGCATCGTGGAAGAATGGACTCTTGAAAAAAAAGCTTGTTACCACCAAATATGAATCTTCTCAGCAAGTTCTGTGTGTCCAGCGCACATATTCAAAAAAAAGAGGACTTGGTGGTTTCAAATGCTCTATTTTCCTACTAAGAGCGATACATTCTTCTCTCTTTTTTTTCTTGCACCATTTCTCCATTTTCAGGAACAGTGCAGGACAGGACAAGGCAGACCAGGAACTGAGAGGAGTGATGATTGTATTGTAAACAATTATGCACTTGAGGGATGGGACAGATCCCCCATCCCCCTTTTATACTTTTTGAGAGTCTTCAACGTCAAAACTCAAAGAACACGATCAGCAACTCAATGCTATGATACCAATGATACCAACAAGACAAGTCAGAAAGGCGTCAGTGGAAGTAGGGTAGGCCAGTCATGCTGTTGATAGCTGACATAGCACCTCAAATACTGCTCCAGGGTCTGGTTTGTTCTTTCTGTTTGTCCATCAGTCTGAGGGTTGTAAACTGTCTACTCTGAGTGAGTGGAAGGAGTGAATGAAGTGGAGATGTGTGTTTGTGGGTGGTCCTTCTCCCAACTTGGAGAGAAAGAGAAAACAGCTCTGTTATGAATTATTGATCCATGACGATGATATACACACTGTAATAGTTGCTAGGTAAGCGTGACTGGCACAGGGTAAAAACCTCTCCTATATTATCTGCTTGAGCAGAGGAGGAGGAAAACTGTTGACACTGGGTTTCTGTTCCACTTAATACTTGGAATATTTGCAATCAGCGCAAGCCAGCGCCCAGGTCTGCATTGGCGGTGGCTCGCTCTCCCATGGGCATCTTGAGAACAATAACTGACAGTCACAATAGGTTTGGGTCTGTCTTGTGCCTCTTGCTGCTAACCAGTCAGTTCCGCCTAACAAAGGTGATAAGCAGTTGACAGTTGAGACTTGATTCCAAGGGCTGCTGTTGTGCTTTGCAAAATTGGGATATGAACTGTGATCCTCTGTCACTGACGATTGACTGAGGACGTCCAGAGTGGCCGGGAGAATAGTACAGCTTAAAGTTATACTCAGAGAGGAGTTCAGCCCACCTGGTATGCCTCTGCTTGAGCAACCTCCATGCCCTGAAGAACGTGAGGTTCTTGTGATCAGAGTATGCCGAGATGCCTTTAGCCATTCAAGATTGAAGCGAAGACGGAAATTGACATTGGGTTAGGGCAAAACCCTAATTTAGAACAACCTTTCTTTGGGTACCAGCAAGAAATTTCCAACGCCTGAACAATGTTCGCTTTCCAAAAAATTTGACGAAAATTGGAACGCAGAATGACCCCTACGTGATTTGAACACGCAACCTTTCGATAACCCGGAAAGTATCTGGAGTCGAATGCTCTACCGTTGAGCTAAGGAGTCATTGCATGGTAACGTTTTCAACTAATATATAAAGCTTCCAAAAGTCTCTCGTCCACCGCAGACCCTTTGTTGTCCATGAACCTCCGAAAACATGACATTAAGAAACAAAAAAGGCTCGTTTCTAAACCCCACCCCCCCAAAACTATGCCGATCACGAATCCCTCACCGTCGACCCACCGCCCGCTCCCCCTCCGCCGCCGCCCCTCTGTCGCGAATCCAGCAGAATCGTCACCGGCCCGTCGTTGACGATCTTGACGTCCATCATTGCGCCGAACTCGCCGTCTTGTGTTTTGGTTTTGTTGGGGTGTCTATTTTTAGCCCGACCGAGAGACGGAAAGCAAAAATTGAAGGGAAAAAAAGGGGGGGGAAAAAAACCACCTTTGATCTTCTCCGCCTCGTACCAGCGCCTCAACCGCTCCAGGAACCGATCGTAGAACGCGCGGCTGAGGTCTGATTTCATGGCGAGGTGGAAGTCGGGTTTTGTACCTGTTGCGGGAGAGGCGGGGGGCGGTTGGCGACCCGGAAAGCATATGAAGGAGAAGGAGGAGGGAAGAGATTGAACAATATATACCTTTTGACGTCGTCGCGTACAACGTGAACTGCGACACCGAGAGGATCTCGTACTGCGCGGCCGCGACGCTGAGCGACCATGGCTTGCTGGGGCTGCTGGGGGTTGCTGGGGATGGCCACTGGTGGGCAGTGGAGTGCGCGCGCGCGCGCGGGGGTTGGGGTGTGGTGAGTTGTAAGGGGGTTTGCTGGGAGCCGTTTGCGAGGGGAGGGAGGGAATACAGTACCAGTCTTGTGTTGAGGATTTTTTTGGCGCTGGTTGGGGGTTTAGGGAGGGGCGGTGAGCGGTTTTCGGGTGCGTGCTGGAGCTGGGCGTACTCACATGTAGTCGGCGTCGTCCTCGGTGTCGTCGACGGTGATGCCGACTGTTTTTTCGTTTTTGTTGTTTTTGGGTCACGCCCGGGAGGCGAGGCGTGAGTGAGGACTCGGCATCATTTGGTGGGAAGAAAGACAGAAAGCGTTCCAGCGCCGCTCACCGAGTACGCAGATGCCTGTTCCAGATAGAGACGTGGGGGGGGGGGGGGGATGGGTCAGCGAACGTGTGGTGGATGAGCGGGGGTTGGGGCTGAGCCCCAGTGCACTTGCCGTGAGAGATGGAGCTGACGATGCGATCGTCGACTGCAGAGGGGGGAGGGAGGTCAGAATCAACGAGTGACGACGTGTCGATGAAAGCGAAAGCTCTTACCCGTGACGCTCGCACGCTTGACTCGTTGTATTACGGCGCGCATGTTTCGTTTACTCTCTGGACGTGTTGGTTGCCTCCTGCGGCACGATCAGTTTGGAAAGATTGTCGGAGAGTTGCTTGACAAGTTCGATGGTCGATGGGTGGTCCAAACTGAAGATGATTCACCCGATCTTATTGTTTATTACTCGAATAGAACGGAACACATCACACAATCAGTCAATCATCATAGCTTAGGTTACCCCCAAAAAAACACCGCCATCCAACCATCTTTCAATCCTCCTTATCCCATTCCTCCTCCTCTTCCTCCCTCGCCAACTGCCTCCCAACAGCCCCAAAACACACGCAAGACCCATACATCACCACGCACGGCAGCCATGCCGTCGCTGCCGCTGCCGCTGGCATCCCACCACCGAGCATCAGCCCGCCGGCCACAGCCTGCGCGGCCGCCACGCCGCCCGCGGCGACGGTGCCCGCGACAAACCCGACTCCGGACCCGTCGCACACCCACCACACCCCGACCGCGACCAGAGCCAGCGCCGCACCGCCGCCGGCGCCGGGCAGCTTTGCGGTCGCGTAGAGGAGACCGGCTAGCGCGCCGAGGCTGCGTGCTGCCGTTGGCCAGTCGCGCTTATTGCTCGGGTTGGAGGAGGAGGCGCGGGGGCTGAAGAGGGCGTCGACGTGCGGGAGAAGGAGGCCGACGAGGGTCGCGAAGAGGCCGCTGAGGAGGTGCGGGGTCGTGCGGGAGAGGGTGAGGAGGGTTGGTGGGGTTGTTGTGGTGTTGAGGGTAGAGGTGGAGAGGGGGGAGGGGGGCCGGTATGGTGGGCGGGAGGTGGCGGCGGCGTCGCGTTGGAGGGCGAAGGTGAGGAAGGAGAAGGAGGTGCCGAGGAAGAAGAGGACGAGGATTCGGGAGAGGAAGGGGATGCGGCGGAGGCGGCGGGTGGCGATGGTGGGTGGTTGCGTTAAGGGGTCCGGCGGGGTGGAGGTGGCTTTCGAGGAAGCGAGGGGCTCTGGTGGTGGGGGTGCGAGGAGGGCTGTCGAGGGGGGCGGTGGACTATCGTGGGGCTGTTTGATCGAGTCGAGCGAGGTTGGCGGACGAGAAGGCGGGGTGCGGGGCATGACGTCGTCTTTGCCGTCATCTTTGGGTGGTTGTCTGCTCGTCGCGCGCGGCCGGCGTCTCCGAATCCGAAGCAGGGCGGCGGCGTCGATGGCCGCGCCTTTGTCTTTTCGGGAGCCCGCGACGATCATCATCGTTCTTTCGCTTTCGGGTCAGGTGGTGACGTGATGATTTGTCCGAGGGCTGGAGGATGAGGACTGGCAGCGGCAGAGACCGGAGCAATGGAGCAGTGGGTGGGCGTGGCGGGACGGTGTTGAGGAGTGCAGACTGGTGAGTGGTCGTGGGGTGGTAGGCGGGCGCTCGGCGCGTGAGAACAGCGCCTGATGAGAGCGTGCGAAAGGAGGGTTGCGCGCAGTCCCACTCGTCGTCGCCGTTGCGAGCGTGGGAACGACACTGTCGGTTTTTGTCTGGCTTCCTTTTTTTTTTTTTTTTTTTTTTTATCTCCTCCCTTTTCTTTCTTTGTCAACAATTGAGTTTCAACACTACAACACGTCAGCACCACGCCCGCCAATCAGAATTGCCCATCCCGACTCAAACAAACCAAAAAAAAAAAAAAAAAAAAAAAAAAAAAAAGGAACCCCCATGACACGTCACACCATAGAACGAGGAAATAACCTTCCCACTTGGGTTTTGGAGGGGAGCGGTGAAAAAAGAAAAATGCCACGAGGGTTGGGGCCAACGCGCGTTCAAGAGTTGCTTGCAGTCACCCGATTGAAAGGTCCTCAGTCATATTTACGAGGTGCTTGTCGCCTTCCAATTTTATTTTCTTTTCTTTTTATTTCTGAGGGTTGGGGACCAAACATGGCCCAGCAAAGCGGCCCGAACGGACCCATTCGGAAAAATGCACGGAGTGTGAGGTTATGGGCTCCCGCAAGAGGTTCCAAAAAAAAAAGGTGGAAAAAAAAAAAAACACTGCAACTCGAAAAAGAAAAAAAAGAGTGGAAACGAAACCACAGCAAACTGCGCCGCGAGTCGACACCCCGCTTAAAAGTGGATGGCCTTGTCGTACGTCGCCATGCACGCCTCCTTGAACGCCTCGGACAGCGTCGGGTGCGCGTGGCACGTCCGCGCAATGTCCTCGCTCGATGCCCCGTACTCGATCGCGAGGACCGCTTCGGCGATCATCTCGCCGGCGTTCTTGTTGTGAGTTTTGGGAGGAAGGAGGGAAAGATGTCAGATGAGGAAAAGCAGTCTTTTTGACGAGGAAAGGGAGCTCTTACCGGTCCGACGATGTGGACGCCGAGGATGCGGTCCGTCTTGGCGTCCGAGATGATCTTGATGGTGCCCTCCGCGTCGTCTTTGAATTTACTGTTAGAATTGACGAAAAAGGGAGAGAAAAAAAAATAGAAGAGCCACCCCCAACTCCCTCCCTCACCGATAGTCTTTGCCCTAGAGTTGGCCATGAACGGGAACGTTCCGACGCGGTACTCTGCACCCTTGGCAATCGCCTCTGCCTCGCTCAGCCCGACCCACGCGACCTCGGGCCACGTGTAAATCACAGACGGCACCGCGTTGTAGTTGACGTGCCCGTGCCCGTGCTTGATGTACTCGACCGCCGCAATCCCTTCCTCCTCCGCCTTGTGCGCCAGCATGGGCCCAGAGATCACGTCCCCGATCGCCCGCACGCTCGGCACGTTCGTCTTGAACTCGGCGTCCGTCACGACCCGCCCCTTCGCGTCCACCTTGACCCCGGCGTTCTCGAGCCCCAGGTTCGCAGTGAACGGCCGCCGCCCGATCGACAGCAGCACAACGTCCACCGTCAGCGTCTCCCGCGGCCCGCCCGCCGCGGGCTCAACCACAACGTCGACCTTCCCCTGCGCGTTCTTTGCCGCCGAGACCACCTTGGTGCCCAGCTTGAACTTGAGCCCTTGCTTCTGCAGCGTCTTTTGGAACACCTTGGCCATGTCCGCGTCCATCCCCGCGCCAATCTCGCTCGCGTACTCCACCACTGTACACTCGGCCCCGAGCCGCTTCCACACAGACCCCAGCTCCAGCCCAATCACCCCGCCCCCGATCACAATCATCTTCTCTGGCACCTTCTTCAGCGACAGCGCACCCGTGCTCGTCACGATCGACTCCTCGTCCACCTCGACCCCGGGGAACGGAGACGGCTCTGACCCCGTCGCGATGATAATGTTCTTGGCTGACAGCACCGTCTTGCTGCCGTCCAGCCCGTCCACCGCAACCGTGTTCGCGTCCAGGAGCTTGCCCCACCCCTTGACGTAGTCCGTCTTGTTCTTCTTGAACAGCCCCTCGATACCGCGCGTCAGCCCCGTCACGGACTTTTCCTTGGCCTTCATCATCGTCTCCAGGTCCACGGACAGCCCGGAGACCTTAATCCCGCGCTTGGAAAACTCTTCGTGCGCGACGTGGTACAGGTGCGAGTTGTGCAGGAGCGACTTTGATGGGATGCAGCCCACGTTGAGGCACGTGCCGCCGAGAGAGCCGCGCCCTTCGACGCAGGCCGTCTAAACGGACAAAAGGGGGAGTTCAGCAGGCGCGATCCAACGCGATGCGTGGCGATCGCCAAGGAGGTACTGAAAACTCACCTTCAGACCAAGCTGCGCGGCCTTGATTGCTGCAACGTACCCGCCGGGACCGCCACCAATAACAACAACATCATAGCCTGTCCGA